CACCTCCACGTTGGAATGGCAGCAATCACGCTTCCACAGTCATCCACCTGCTTTTTTACTCTAAAGCTTCCCAAAGACACAGACAAATTCGATGCATTAAGTGGCCTGAGTATAACTTCACACAAGTTCTTGTAAACTACAGGGTCGACTTCCAAGTCTATTGTTTCATGTATGTAAATTAATTGTTCCAATATTGCTTCTACTTGGAACAGTAGATAATCCAGGGAAGCATTATCAGCAATATCAGCTAACAGACGGAGATCCCGAGAGATAGTATCTATATTGACTGCCATTGAGAGTCGTGTAGTGACTTCCTCTGCTGTGGCTCTTGGTAGATATACCTTGTCGATTTCTGCACTAATTTCTGCGTGAATAGTTCAACCCAAGACACACTTTGGACGGCCCCCTCATTTGAATTACATTTCCTACTGCATTTCATGCTGACATTGTCTGCAGCATGAAATAAATAATCATAAAAGCAGTGTTAGAATAATGTGCATAAATGTATAAAGAAGTTATCATTATTCCTCATATTCTTTGTCAGAGTTTACTACAAGTATAAACTATTTTGACCTCTTTTATACATCATATAAGAGTATTTTTATCATATAAGAGTGTTTCCTAACTTCTCTCTCCAATAGATTTACTACACAGCACATCAATGTTTCTTTCAGTTTTCTGTGACCTTGTCTTTCCTATCAGCAGGTGGGGGTGTGGGGGTGACGAATCCTCCGCTGTAAATCGTGGGAAGTTTTTGAGGAGGTGCCGCTCTTATCAAAAGGAGCTCGTTAGATGCTGCCTTGACCTTCACATATTCACAAGTGGTTCATTATTATGCTTTATGAGAATGTTTACTTTGCTGCACCATTTACCCCCACCCTTTAGAAACATTGTGTAACCAGGGACAACCCTAAATAAAAGAGGCCGGACAGAGAAAGAACCCTTAGAGTGGTATTGAGATAACTAAAAGAAAGATCTCTGTCCATTCTTCTCGAATATATTCCATTGTCTTTCTCTTCTTTATATGTTTTCAGGTATTTGGGCAGGTTTTAGACCCAACATTTCTTGGTCCTTCGAGCCAGATTCCAATAGACCAGACGATTCCAACAGGTGAGGTGGACGACAGATAAGACCGTGGCCACGGCAGCCTCTCTTTGAGGAACTGGACTCGACCCACCTGCTGGGATCCGACGGTTGACGGAAATCCGAAGCCAAGAGGAAAGACAAGTGGTGAGTTGGTCTTTTATAAAAAGGAACGTGGAATGATTGAAATTCGCTTCGCGTAGAGAATTTATAAAAGACCAAAAAGGATGCCGGAGTCCTACTAGAAATAGTTTAAATTCCAAGGAAGGATGCCGGAGTCCTACTACTAGATGTAGTTTAAATTCCGAGGAAGGATGCCAGAGTCCTACTAACTAGTGCTGTGTCCAAATTGCCCGCTCGCATACTACATGCTACTGCTACGTGCTACTGCTAGATCCTACTCCTACATACTAAACACGTTGGCCCAATTCGGACACAGCTTAGATGTAGTTTAAATTCCGAGGAAGACGCGCGGGTCCGGTGTGGTACCGTGGACAAAGGCCTAATTGAGAAAATTCTGCAGAACAAAACACGTGTTAAAAGTGTGATTGTGAAAGTGTGAGAGTGATTGGAATAGGGATATATCACTAGATATATCCTATTCATACCAAAACAGTGGGATTGTAAGTAGTGACCTTATTGTGGAAGCAAAGGCAAGAATTCTCCACTCGCAAGAGTAGAAGCGAGAATTACCACATAAGGAATTTTTATCACTACCCCATTGAAAGAACCCAGCTTAATAGGACACCCTAGGTGTCACCTAAGCTGGGCCAAAACACATAAAAATGGGGACGGGAGCCAGTAAGGCTAAATTAGACAAACTAAAAAGTCAAGACTGGAAAGTTTTTCAGACAGAGCCCAAAAAATTACAATTCCTCGAATTATGGGTAACTAAATTTGGATTCGATGGCAGCCTAAGAACAAGCCAATTAAATAAACTACAAGACTCCATAAGCATAAAATCAAAGGGTGATATAAAGAAAGCACAAAAATATGGGTGTCAAATGATTGATGAATGGAAAAAAGTAGCAAAAGCCAGAGAGGATGGAGAAAGGAGGAATAAAGAGGAAAGAAAGAGGCAAGAGACAGAGAAAAAGGAACGGAAAGTGTTGTTCCACAGGAAAGAAGATGATGAGACAGGACCAGTAGGCAGACGAAGAGAACCTCCCTATAATCCTAATTGGGAGGAGAGAGAGGAAGAGGAAGAACAGGAAGAAGAAGAAAGGGAAGAACCAGGCGTAAAACAAAGCTTATATCCAGAAGTGCCAAAATTAAGCAATACCAATCCATTTAAAACTGATAAGACCAAAGCTGTCCGACATCCTCCGTATGATTTTCGGAGTAGGGAGCCTCAATATCAGTGGTCTAAAGAAATGGGAGGAGGTCCACTGACTCCCACAAAAAAATCTCCCAAAGAACCATGTGATCAGTTCCCTATGATCGAAGTGGCAAATCCTAATGTTGCAGACGGACAGCAGCCTCGCATTCTGGTGTACAGAACATGGAACCTGGAGGATATAAGTAAAGCTTTGCAAGGTGTGACTCCTCACAGAGAGGATGCTACACAATTTGGCAGAGACATGGAAGACCTTAGACGGTCTTATCATCTAAATGGTACTGAAACACAACAGATCTGGATGAAAGCTTTGGGCCTTGATTGGCATCGTGTGCTGGGGGATTGGGACCCAAATCGAGGGGGAAATCATTTGGCCCACGATGACAATGTTTTAAACCAACGTGTAACCGCACTTGTAGCTAGAACTACAAATCAGTTCAGACAACGAGCAAATTACTCTGAAATAGATAAAGTAAAACAAAAAAGATGAAGAGCCATTCGAAGACTATCAAGTTAGAATGACTAAAGCCTTTAAAACCCATAGTGGGTTAGAGGAGGACAATAACGAGAATGGTGCCTACCGACAACAGTTAAAAAATGCCCTCCATGCCGGCTCCAAAGATGCAATAAAAAATTGGGTGCAAAAACATTACAAAGGGCTCCCTTCAGGAGCTCTGACTGAATACGTGGAGCATGCTCTCCACGCTGAAAAAGTTGTAAAAACTGCAAAAAAAAGGAAAGAAAAAATGGAACTAGTGCATTTTTTGCGGAAGGTGACAATGAAAATGAAGCCTTCTATCAAAATGCAAGAGGCAGATTTAGGGGCAGAAGCAGAAGAGGATTCAGAGGTAGAGGACAGAGGTGGCCCAAACTTGGAGGAGCAGAGCAAAGAGGAGTAGTGTGCTGGTCATGTGGGACAGAGGGACATATAGCCTGGGAGTGCAAAGAACCACCAAATAAAGGAAAGTGTGTGCACTCAGGGCAAGACCAAAAACAGGCATGACTATATGAAGGAAAAAAGAAACAGTCTGACTCGATTGCGAAAGTCAATGTGACCGAAACCGATGATGAAGAAGTTCCAATGCTAAATTTGCAAGAGATATTTTTTATGATTCAGGTAAAACCAGAAGTACAGCTGTTCGTAAATGGGAAAGAAATGACTTTCCTTTGCGACAGTGGTGCTTGCAAAACCACAATAAGAGAACAGATACTACATGTGACTTTCTCAGGCGAAACTATGAAAGTAAGAGCCGCAAATGGAGAACTTTCAGACGTGCCCCAAACCACACCTTTGTGGTTTAGAGACCCACATTTCCAGGGCACTTCCGGTCAGTTTAGCGCGCTGTACATGCCACAGTGTCCCGTTAATTTGCTTGGTCGAGACGGACTGTTAAGCTTGGGCTTGGCTTTAGTGCCCTCTTCTTGTGGGCCGATACTGGTGAAAAGAAAAGATGAGTTAGGCCTGGGAGACATTTTTGTTTCTCAGGGTCAAGGTCAACCTCATTATTGGTACAGTTTAGACTTACCTAACAAAGGCCCAGCAGCGTCAGCAGCTACACTGCTAGCTGAAGGCAGAAATGCTGTTTTAAAAAAGGAAGACCAAATGTCCGAAGACGACCTGCACGTGACATTGTGGTATAAGACAGCTCCAGGTACAGACAGAGAATATGAAAAGAAGCTCAAAAACGCAACACCAACTACTATAACTATCACTCATTTGTACAGTGACAATCTCAGCTCTGTTGCAGCTGCAGTGACTTTGCCTCCAGGGCAAGATTTCAAAGACCTTTTCAGAATGTGCACTCCAGCTCACATCTCCCTGTTTAAAGCAAAAGACCAACAATGGAAGAATTTGGGTCAAATGGTATCAACGGGAGAAAAAGCTAATGACTGGAAACCTACCTCAGTTAACACTGAGTACAGTACCAAAACAGGTCTCAGCAGAAAGTCACTTTTCTGGACAGCACAAGTGCAAGAAGGAATTCACCTAGACTGACCAGAACAGACAGATAGCTGACAGAGCTTACAGTTGTCACTGACAAATGAGGAAGAAGAGTTTTTAGAGGCTGTGCCCAAATGTTTGTGGTCAACAGGACCTACAGATGCAGGATTAGTTAAAGGTGCCCTGCCTGTACAAATTAGGCTCAAAACTGAATATAGGCCTTGTGTTCGCCAGTATCCACTTAAACCTGACGCGTATGAAGGAATCAAACCAGTCATACGGGATCTCATAACTGCAGGAGTAATTGTAAAATGTGATGACTCTCCATGTAATACTCCTATTTTTCCCGTAAAAAAACAAGCCCCATCCATTGGGTGGCGAATGGTTCAAGATTTACAAGCAGTAAATAATGCTGTGATTCAAAGAGCTCCATGTGTACCCGATCCAAATACTTTGCTAAATTCTTTGAGATCAGATGCTACTGTTTTTACAGTGGTGGACATTAGCAATGCATTTTTCTCAGTACCAGTGGATAAAGAGAGTCAATACTGGTTCGCCTTCACCTTTGGAGGCCAACGGTACACATACACTCGGCTACCACAGGGTTATTGTGAAAGTCCTACAATTTACTCCCAGGTCATGAGCTCCAGTATGTCAAAGTTCACTCCCCCTCATGACAGTCAAGTCCTTCTGTATGTAGATGACATCCTTTTGGCCTCACCTGATGAAGCCACCTGTAAGGCAGATACACTGGCGTTATTAAAACATTTGGCTACTGAGGGACACAAGGCCAGCAAAAACAAATTACAGCTATGCAAGACAGAGATAAAATATTTGGGCCACAATCTTAGTGCAGCAGGCCGCACCATAGTTGAGAGTAGAAAAACAACTATTCTACAAGCTCCTAAACCACTCACAAAGAAACAAATGATGTCATTTTTAGGCCTAATAAACTATTGCAGAGCATGGGTTCCTAACTACGCTGAAATAACTCAACCCTTGAGTAAATTAATGTATGATGGGGACCTGAAGATGACATCTTTGATACAATGGACACCTGAAGCTGAAATAGCATTCTGTGACATCAAACAAGCCTTAGTGTCCAGCACAGCTTTAGCATTACCAGACTATAGTAAGCCATTTATTCAGATGGTGGACTGTAAGGGACAGTTTATGACCTCTGTCCTTACACAACAGCATGGAGAAAAACTAAAACCAGTAGCATATTATTCATCTAAGCTTGGTAGTGTAGCTTGTGCATTACCCCACTGTGTCAGAGCTGTAATAGCAGCCTCAATGGCTGTGGAAATCAGTGCTACTACAGTACTTTTCCACCCACTCACACTGCGAGTGCCTCATTCAGTTTCATTGATGCTGTTACAGACTAATATGACCTTCTTATCTCCAGCACGACATTTGTCCTGCATGTCAACACTGCTGTCGCAACCACATGTCACTGTGGAATGATGCACAAACTTAAATCCAGCTACTTTAATTCCTCTGGCAGACGATGGCGCTAAACATGACTGTCAGGAGTTAGCAGAACAAACAGCAAAAAGCCGACCTGATTTGCTAGATCAACCTCTGCAAACTGGAGAAATCCTCTTTGTGGATGGCTCCTCTAAAAAGAATGATTGTGGTAAAACTTTAACGGGTTATGCAGTTGTAACTACTACAACCATTTTAAAAGCAGCAAAATTACCATCAACATTCTCTGCCCAAGCAGCAGAACTGGTTGCACTTATTGAAGCTTGCAAAATCATGGCTGGAAAAGAAGTCACAATTTATACTGATAGCCAATATGCTTTTGCCACTACGCATACTTTTGCACAATATTGGAAAAATAGAGGCATGGTAACTTCTACCGGTAAACCTGTGACTCACGCTCAGCTCCTGACAGAACTCTTGGCTGCTGTAAATCTGCCACAAACGATAGCTATTTGCAAATGTGCTGCCCACACTTCTGGAACAGATCCAGTCTCGCTGGGGAATGCATTTGCAGATAAAACAGCCAAGGCTGCAGCTGAGGGAGAGATCTCGGTCTGCACCTTGGAGTACACAGACGCACTTTCTGATGACGTTCTTAAAACAATGCAACAACAGAGCCCAAAAACTGAAATTGAACTCTGGGTTAAACAAGATGCACATTTGCAAAATGGCATCTATATATGACCTGAAGGGAAACCTATCCTACCAAAGAATCTTTTTAAATGGGCAGCAATATTGAGCCATGGTCCCACACATGTCTCAACAGGAGGGATGGTAGGACAGATACAACAACATTTTACTAATTATGGATTTAACTCTTATTCAAAAATTTTTTGAAGAGCATGTTTAACATGCGCTAAACACAATCCTCAGGGAAATCTCAGAATGAAAACACGCAGTTTCCCTGAACCAAAATATCCCTTCCAGGTCATACACATGGACTTTATCGAACTGAGCCCAAGTGAAGGAAAAAGATATTGTCTTGTGATAATAGATGCATTTTCCAAATGGATAGAGCTTTTCCCGACTAAAACACCAGATGCATTGACGGTCGCTAGAGCACTTTGTAAAGACATTATACCTCGGTATGGCATCCCAGAAATAATTTGTAGCGACAATGGCACTCATTTTGTGAACCAAATCCTTAAAAAAATAGGACAAATGTTTCATATAAACCTTAAACATCATTGTGCAATCACCCTCAAAGTGCAGGCTTAGTAGAACGAATGAACGGAACTATAAAAAATAGACTAAAAAAATGTATGGAAGAAACAAACAGACCATGGACACAGTGTCTTGATCTCGTAAAACTTTACATCAATATAACAAGCACTAGTGGATTGACTCCTTATGAGACCTTATTTGGCAGAACATACAGGCTGCCTCAGTTTAAGAACCAATGGGAAACAGATGATGACAGCACACTTGCAGACTATATGAGAAAGATATTAGAAAAACAAAAACCAGTGTGTACTGATAATCATCCCTCTGATTCTCAACAGGAGACTCAGCCACTGAAGCCTGGAGACTGGGTGCTAATAAGGAGTGTTAAAAGAAAACATTGGCATTCGCCTAAGTGGGAAGGTCCATATCAGGTACTGCTGACAACTCCCACTGCTGTTAAGATAGCAGAGAGATCAGCCTGGGTTCATTTGACACACTGCAAGCAGGTCATTTCGGTTGAAAACTCCGATAGGGGTGGTGAGCCAAAGTCTGATAATAGGGTGGATTCAGATGTTTAGAGTCTGGATAGACCCGAAAGTCAGTGAAGCTTTTTAAAAGGACACCAAACCAAGTAGAGGAGATAAGTATTCCACCAAAATGACCCCAAAGCGGCTGAGAAGTGTCATCTGTCACTGGACAGTACCCTTTTTTGTCATTATGACATTCCCGTTCGTGTGGTACCTATGGGAACCACTCACAACGCACCATACAGGCATGATAGAGATAAATCCTACAAAACAGACCACTCATAACAGACTTCGACGAGAAATAACATCACAGGATCAATGTAAGACATCTGTGTCTCACATTTCTATCCCGCAAATATGTGTCGTAGAAAACACCACGGGTTGTTTCCACACCACATGGTCTCTGTGTAAAAATGGACAACAATACAGAAACAATAACTGGTACTTAACTAATGACTACAAACACACCGGGTGGGAAACATTAGTGGCAGACACGGCTGGGTGGACTAAAAGATATGCAAAAACAAAATGGTCAAAATATCAACAACAACTTATGACTCTAAAAAAGAACAGCACTCACTTGACCTTATGTGTAAACTTCACTAAGGGAACTCTTAGACCTCCCAGTTATGCGGGCGTCGGCGGATGCTGGGGTTTCCTATTGTGGTCACACCGAGGAGGGAAGGATGTAAATCAGAAACTAATCATATGCAAAAATAAGGCAACAAATACCCCCAGATCAAATATCAGCATGTCTGCTGCAGCAAAAGGACAAGGTATTACAGAAGACGGTGTGACCATAAGTGTTGACCAAGTTTTCCGTTTCGTAACTGGCATATCTGGGTACAGTAATAATTGGTTGTTAATGGTAGAACAAGCTGCAAATATGACCAAAAAGGACTGTGTGGTCTGCATGGGCCCGAGACCACTCCTGCGAGTAGTACCAGCTGTGGTCCCGTCGTTCTGCATTTTACAGTTAATGACTAACCCCAACATTGATGGCGACTGCACAAAATGGGACGAAATATTCCCTCTGACCAAACCTGAACCGGAAAAACCTTTCTTTTCCACCCATGTAGCACGTGGAAATTTCACTTGCATAAATATGGTAGGGAAGGCTGACAGTTTAGGCTCAATTAACAGCAGCTGGTGTGAGACCACACTGACCGTTGATGGGTTATCCTTCAAGCCACTGTCCAGAAGCGACATCTGGTGGTGGTGTGGAGGAAGTAAATTGTTCGACAAAATGCCCATGAACAAAAAAGGAGTCTGTGCCTTAGTAACTTTGATCCTACCTGTTGTGACTCTCCCTACCAGTGTGACAAATTTAACCTCTGTAGTTAGTCATGTTCTCTTGTGGAGCCACTCCAGAGTAAAAAGAAACTGGCAAACAGAATCTGACCCGACTTACATAGATCCTATTGGAGTTCCTCGGGGGGTACCAGATGAGTATAAACTAGTAAATCAAGTTGCTGCAGGCTTTGAGTCTCTCGTCTGTCCTTGGTGTACAATGAACAAAAATATAGATCGAATCAACTACATCCATTTCAATGTTCAAAAGCTAGGTAATTGGACTGAGGCCGGTTTTCAGGCCGTTCACTCGCAGTTATCCGCAACATCCCTGATGGCTTTCCAAAACCGTATAGCCCTTGACATGCTGCTCGCAGAAAAAGGAGGTGTATGTGCCATGTTTGGAGAAACGTGTTGCACGTTCATTCCTAATAATACTGCTGCCGATGGCAGCCTCACTCGAGCCATAGAGGGCCTTAAAACGCTTAACGGCAAGATGAAAGACCACTCAGGAATAGATAACTCCTTTTGGGATGATTGGATGAATGTCTGTGACGTATCCTCCGCTGTAAATCGTGGGAAGTTTTTGAGGAGGTGCCGCTCTTATCAAAAGGAGCTCGTTAGATGCCGCCTTGACCTTCACATATTCACAAGTGGTTCATTATTATGCTTTATGAGAATGTTTACTTTGCTGCACCATTTACCCCCACCCTTTAGAAACATTGTGTAACCAGGGACAACCCTAAATAAAAGAGGCCGGACAGAGAAAGAACCCTTAGAGTGGTATTGAGATAACTAAAAGAAAGATCTCTGTCCATTCTCCTCGAGTATATTCCATTGTCTTTCTCTTCTTTATATGTTTTCAGGTATTTGGGCAGGTTTTAGACCCAACAAGCAGAGTCCTTGGGCTCTATTTTCGTGTTCGCCAATGAGGCTGCGGAGGGTGGCGGACCCCGCGCAGTGGTATTTTCGTCTGGTGGAGCCCGGAGTACAGCCGGTTTGGTATTTTCGTGGACTGAGGCGCACCAAGGTCTGCCAAGCTGGGCGTGGTGGCGTGGTAGAGGAAGGTGTCGACAGAATCAGCTGCCGCAGTAACATTTTCGTGGCGTATAAAGTGTGCTGAAAGCTCGCCGATTCAAACCTGGTCGGCTTTCAGTGCAAGCGAAGCACAGCTGGTCTACTGGTATTTTGGTAGACCGGCGGCATATCGGCATACGTCACCGATGCCTCACCAGCAGGTTTCCACAGTGTCAGGCACATTTCAGTGCAATAAATAATAAACAACAATTATTATTTTGAGTCAGCACATACATTTAGATCTATATAGATATATTCTGATCTATATCTGATCTGATGAGCGCGTTTGGCACGCGTTTGGACACACAACCTGACCAAATTAACACAGCTGAAACCGCATTAAATTCAATTAAATATCTAGTAAATAGACACACATGATGAAGTTAACAAGATATGTAATTCGCCTCCCTCCTTTTCTTTCTTCCTCTTCCTCTTATTTCTTGCACAGCTCGACCTGGACATGTCTCTGTGTCCTCTCCCTCTCCTCTCTGTGTCCTCTCCCCGTCCTTCTGCTGCTGCTGCTGCGGCAGCTGAACAGATGATTTGTTTCAGTGATCAGACGAGTTATTTACTTTACGCCAACATACGAATATTATATTATTCAGTGTTGTTAGCCAAATTTATGTTATATGCCAACATCTATAAAAGAAAGAGCCAGGCCACGGAGCGCGATGCGTCATTACCCACAGATGGTCCCGATTTTAATGCCATTATTGGAATTTATGATGTGATCTCTGCACACAACCCACCTTTGTCACATGAGGATTGAATATGTGCAACTTACACACACCAAATCCATCTGTGCTCATATGAGAGCAACAAGTGTCATAGCGTTTACAGCGACACTTGTTGAGGAGCTGCCTTCTGTCGCCATTGTGTGGCATTACTGTCTTCAAACATCTCTTGACCCCTTTGACTACTTCACGAAAATAGTAATACGCCTTGCCGGTGGCGGATTTAAAGGCGAGGAGAGGAGCTGATGTTATTGGTCAATACAGGTCTCGGCTGTGTTAAACCCACTCCACACCCTCTCTCCTCCCTGCTTGGGAACGCCTTGTCAGCGAGGCGGACCTGACTTATGCCGCGCCTGCTGCACATCTCCGGCGAGGCACGAAAATAGAGCCCCTTTTCTTTTTTCATTGATATTTAATTCCATTTATATATTTATTTTTGTATTCATTTCCACATTTCTTTTTCTATTTCTTTTTGTTTTTTGAGTCTTGTTTTTTATCTTTGTGTTCATTTTTACTTTTTTTTTAATTTATGTATATATTTTATTATGATTGGTTTAATTTCCTTTTATATGTATTTTTTGTGTTTAATTTTATAATCATATTTCTTTTTTTGTCTTTATTTTCACTTTTAGTATTTTTTAAATTTTTAAATTTTGGCATTTTTGTCCTCCATACTTTATTCCCCTAATTTTACAATTTGGTTGCAGGCAGGGCTGTCCTTTCACCTTGAAACCTATTTAATTTTTTCATTGAACCTCTATCCCAAGCAGCATGTCAGGAGATGTAATTAAATGGTATCTCCATGGGAGGAGTGGAGTAAAAAATAAGTCTGTACACAGATGATGTATTGATCACAATAAATGCTGGAAGCATACAGGGAATATTCAAGATATGTTCATAAACACAGGTCATGACATTTAATTACACACCTACAGAGAAACTCAACACGATGTATAGTTTCAATTGGAATGCATCCTTTATTAAAAACATGGTAGTCTATTTGCCTTAAGACATGTCACAATTATTCTAGATTAGAAATGTATTTAAAAAAATAATGTAAATTGACCTTTGTAAGGGTCATTCTGAGAGATTATTATGTGTGCAGGACACTGAATAGTCCACTAGGTGTCACCTTTGTGTCTTGGGTCACCTGCCAATTTAGGTAGGAACTTTCCATCAGGTAACAGGTATTGCTAGACAGTGGGAGCACAAATAGTTTTTTGACTGCAAACACTGGCATGCCAGGTCAGGTGAAGTCTTGTGGATTTGGTTGTCATTGTGGAATTTGGGGATTTTGTCAACACTTATTCTTGCACTCTTGCATGTAAATACATTGAAGACCAGAATGGTGAGCAATAAATAATCCATAGAATGGCAGAAGACAACGTTGGATGTTTATTTTACAGGACAAACTGAAGCAGTGCACAGCACAGTGAGTTAAAGGTATGGTTGACGATCTGAGAAGCAGCTAAAAAAAACTGAGCCATTGAGGCAGATTTGCAAAAAGCGTCTCACCCCCACACACAAACCTCTCCCCTCTCTGTGCTCGACGATAAACCCCCTCCCTGTATCGCCCGCCCCATGACGCACCCCTTCTTGCAGAGCAAGAAGACGGCCGGCAGAAGATCCTTCTCTAACTTCAAATGGGATTCACCATGTCAGATTTCTAATGACTACCATGTTGACTCAACCAACAAACTACGAACTATGTTTCCCCCAAAACAAAAGAAACCCACTTTGAAATCATGAACTACATCTATCCCTTAAAGGAACTACTCAGACGGTGATTTAACATAGAAGACAACATGTGCACTATTTGTGAAAAGGATACTGAAACAACGGACCATATATTTTTCTCATGTAACATAAGACAAACATTCTGGGTTAACATTCACAAACATTATGGGTTAACATTCATAAATCGATTGAACAAAAAATTACAGTATTTCCACATATATTTCTCTAGATAATGTTACTTTTGGAATGATACTACCAAATAAAAATGATGAACTCTGTAGCAATGTAATCTTATGTCTTGCCAAATATTTCATTCATAAGAATAAAGTTATGAGATCATCCACCAGATTTATTGTTTTCATTACCAAATTTAAAATGTATTTGAAATCTCTTAAAGCGTTAACTGATTTGAAGGAACAAAAGCAGAAGCGTTTTTTTTTTTCCCCGTCCTTCTCCATCAAAGCCTCTGTTTGTAACAGTCTGCTCTGCCCCTCTCCTGCTCTGCTGCTCAGCCACACCCCTCATCAGCTAACTGCTTCCACCTGCTGCTCTCACCTGCTCATCATCTCCAATCAGGCCAGTATATATGCAGCTTCTTTCCCCTCACTCTTTGCCAGATTGTCTTCGCTCTCATGCCTGACTCTCCAGCGTTTATCCTCGGACTGCTTACCTGGTATCGACCTGATCTGCCCCTGACCTTTGCTTCTCGCCTCAGCCCCGGTAAACCTACCTGCCTTCTGTCCTTGACTACGAGCTTTGCCTGCCTGTTTCCCTCTATTCGTCTGCCTGCGGCTGAATGGCACATGGTTCCTGCTCTGTTGAGATCCCCCTTCTCGTCAGCTTCACCTCGCCAACTCACCTCCTCTGCCGACGTTGGTTCTGCCAGCTCCTCTGCAAGCTCTGGATCCTCACCCAGTCTCCAAGAAATCTTCCTCCAGCTGTAAGTTGAGCGTTTTCCCCTTCACTACACTCGTAGAGCAAATTAAGACTGTGGACAATTCCCTGCTCACAGGTCCAAAACTCTTGCCTGACCTGTGGTCAACCGCTAATCTGCTCGCCTATCACCCGGAAGACCCGAGTCCGAATCCTGCCATACCCACCTGCTATACTCTGCTGCTTCATTGGATTTGGTGTTCAATAAAGACTGTTATTAAAGTGAACCTGCTTGTTTGTGCTGCAATTGGGTCCAGTCAATACCCGTTACAGTACAATCTGGCCAAACTATGGACCCAGCACACAATCCCTCACCACTGAATCGCCTTGAGACAATTGAGGGCGTTCTGCAGCAACATGAGGCCATGATGACTGCGGCTGCGGCTGAAGCCAGACGAGCTGCTGAGACTCAGGGACAATCACTAGCAGCTTTAGCTGCACAGATGCAACAGCTAGCAGCTCAACTAACCCAGCTCCCCTCATCTGCTGGATTTGCCTCTTCTTCAGAAGCTTCACCTTCTGCTCCTGCACCTGTACCCGCCTCTTCTCTACCCAGCGATGCTCCTGAGTCACGGGTGGGAACCCCAGAGCGTTATGACGGAGATCGAGAGACTTGCGGCCCCTTCCTCACCAACTGTTCTCTCCTGTTTGCCCTACAGCCCCGCACCTTCGTCACAGAACCGGCAAAGGTAGCATTTGTCATTAACCACCTGACAGGCAGAGCTAGACTATGGGGAACAGCTGAGTGGGAGAGGCGGTCTCGAGCCTGTGCTTCATTTGACCTGTTTGCTGCTGAGCTTCGGAAGGTTTTTGGGTTTGAGAATTCTGGTTCTGATTCGGCAAGGGGACTGATGGGACTGAAGCAAGGCGAATGAACAGTGGCTGACTATTCCATTGATTTCCGCACCAGAGCCAGCCAAAATGGTTGGAACAGTGCAGCTCTCCGTGATGCCTTTCACCTTGGACGGGGTGATTGACTTGGCCGTCCGCATCGATCTTCGTGTTCAGACTCGTCGACGAGAGAAGCGTCAAGGGGGAACCCAACATACTCGTCCACCTCGCTCCCGTGGGGGTGCTGCTGCAGCCAACTCCACCCCATTGGGTCAGCAGTTTGAGGATCCAGAGCCCATGCAGTTGGGCCACACCTCTCTCTCCCTGGAAGAGAGAGAGCGTAGACGCAAGTCCAAACTCTGCCTCTATTGTGGGGCAGCGGGACACTAAGTCTCCGGCTGTCCAGCAAAAGCCAGAGCTCATCAGTAGTTGGGGAGACCCTGGTGAGCTCAACTACCCTGTCACCTCCCCAAAGCCAGCGACCCCTGCTCCAAGGCCGCCTCCTCCTTCCAGACGGTCCCCACACCTTGGCTATCTTTATTGACTCCGGGGCTGATGCCAGCATCATTGACGAGGAGGTGGTCCTTCAGCTGGGGCTTGAGCAGGTTCCTTTGGCTCACCCGGTTCCTGCTCGAGCCTTAGATGGACATGTCCTGGGCACCGTCACGCATCAGACCTCTCCTGTTCATCTGCTACTGTCTGGTAATCATCATTAAAACCGTCCAGTTTCACATCCTGAGCTCTTCCTGCCTGCCACTTATCCTGGGATATCCATGGCTCCGTCTTCACAATCCGCACATCGACTGGGCGACTGGGACCATCCGGGAGTGGAGTTCCTCCTGTCATCAGAGGTGCCTGCAGCAAGCCTCAGTTCCGCTTCATCCCTCCGGGTGTAGCTCCAGTTCGTCACCTGACCTCAGTGGGGTGCCACCCGAGTACCATGACTTCCGCCAGGTCTTCAGTAAAGCCAGAGCCACCTCTCTGCCTCCACACCGACCCTATGACTGCGCCATTGATCTCCTGCCTGGTTCATCACCTCCCAAGGGTCGCCTATACTCCCTGTCTGAACCCGAAAGAAGGGCCATGGAGACGTACATAAATGACTCCTTGGCCGCAGGCATCATTCGTCCCTCTTCATCCCCTGCTGGAGCAGGGTTTTTCTTTGTTGAGAAGAAGGACAAGACATTGTGACCTTGCATAGATTATAGAGGACCGAATGAGATCATGGTAAAGAACCGTTACCCACTGCCACTCATCTCCACTGCCTTTGAACTGCTCCAGGGGGCCACCATTTTCTCCAAACTCGACCTGCGCAACGCCTACCACCTCGTCCGCATCAGAGAAGGAGATGAATGGAAGACGGCATTCAACACCCCTACTGGACACTACGAGTACCTCGTAATGCCGTTTGGCCTCACCAATGCCCCTGCCGTCTTCTTTAGAAGATGACCTCGGTGTAAAAGTGCAGAAATGAACTACACGAAGACAGAATCGAGCTGGCAGCCTCTCGGCGGGGTTTTTATTCCGATCACAGCATCGAACAATAGCTCATGAGCAATCGAACAGACAGAACCAAAAAACAGCCAATCCACATATCTTTTATAGTCCTCCATTGACGTCAGGGACCTTAGTTTTAGCCAAATGTGCGTGCGAAAGTCCCCTTCGTGACTTTCTCTGCCACTATCTTTTGGAGCCAGATTTCCTGTTATTGCAATTAAGCTACCATGAGAGAGGGTCACCATGACCTGATATGAAGTTTATCCCAATCTGACCACTCCACCCATATCCTGTTTTCTTGCCTCATGGTAACCCCCAAAACATCCAAACATATCTGTTATTTTCCCCCACATATCCCCCCTTTGAATCTTTTCAAGATTAACCAAGTTCACTGACGCCGTTGGAGATTCACACTTATCTTGTCTTAGCCTTAGTTACGTTACATGAATGAGTTATGACAGCGTTATGTGATATGGTACTACTTGATTGATTACAGATGCATATGTATGTTTTCAAACCAATCCAACTCATGCTTGTGATCACGAATGTTACATTTTCACAAATACAACACTTAGATCCCTCGGTTCACATCTGGCAGGGGCGAAAACCTGCTGGCTGCTTTGAGCAGGAAATTCCCCTGCGGCCCCTCCCGCTGGCGACCTTTACCGTGAACCTTCTAAATCTTAACAGCTTTTCACTGACCCACTCTACATGACAATCAACCACATGTTTTATTGCTCAAAAAATGATTAACCATTTCCTTTACCTGTTTCCATTTACCTGGAATGGGTATGTGTAAATGATGTGAGTATGCAGAGTACACATGGATAACTGCAGGATATGTGTGTATTGGTATGATAGTCCATTATGCAGAATACACCTGGATAGTAACAGAATATGCGTGTAGTGATATGATAGTCCATTTGCTCCGCCGTCCCATTTGCTTTTCCTTTTGCTCGCTCGCTGCTGCTGCACCTCTGCTTCTTGTTTACCTTACACTTGACTCAGTTCGTCCTCATCATAGTCACCCACACAGGCAGGGTTCGGGTACAAGTCCGTATAGTCCCCGTTTCCCGCCTTGCTGTCGTCCAAGCAGAGTTGTGCCATTTGGGACGGCGTCAGCAAGTCCAACATTTGAGCTTTTTGGAGACCAGTCGCCACAATCATCTGTCTGTCCAGAGCCCGCAGACACTGCCTCCTCAGGATGGGGATGATGCAACATGTCAAAAAGGAAATTAGAATTAGGACTGCTAATGCACTGAGTCCTATCTTAGCCCAAACGGCTCCCCATTTTCCTAAAATTTGGTCTAACCAATCCCATGACAGTCCCCCCTTGCCCGCACTCTCCCTGAGCTCAACTCTGAGTTCTGTAAGCTTCCCCATTGCCACAGAAAATATACCATCAGGGGCTGTGTTATTTGGAATAAAGGTACAACAATGTTTCCCGAACATGTGACATACTCCTCCCCTATCCGCTGTCAGCCAATTCAAAACCTGTCTATTTTGTTGGGCCATTATACTTGCTGCGTGTAATTGAATACCGAGAGCGCTCAGGATCTCAGATGTCGCATTAACAAACCTCTGTTGGTTGTAATAAATGTAATTTATCCATTGGACATTTTTATTAGTGGTGATCCAAGGGAGAATCGACTCTAGACCTACTCTAATCTCATCCTGAGCTTTAAACTCCTCTGGAATTCCTATTGGCACTCCTATACTATTGATGTACACCTTTTCGTCAATCTGCCTTTTATGGCGGCTCAATTTGGCTGTTTCTTCCTGGATTTTAAGGATCTCCTCGCCGCCGTCATACACACAACAACTGACACTTTCATTCGCACTAATGTACAGAGTCCAATCCATTTTGGTGGAAGTGTGTTACGCGCAATGTTGTCTCCACACATCCAGTAACTGCCAGCTACTGCAACAGTTTGACTTGCGAAAGAAATGCATACTCGGTCTGGTCATAGTTATGTTTTCACATGTTTGATCTAATGTTTGCTCTGGATTTTCAAACCAAACAGGTCTGGTTAAGAACGGTTCGCTCATATTAGCTTCAGGAAACCATGACAATACCCACGTAATTTTACAGTTAACAGTTATGTTTTGGTATGGAATGTTTATGTGTTTGAGCTCAGCTGAGAGTGCTGGCTCAGAGTTTAGCACGTCATGGATTGGTGTCTGTGTGGTTGCATCATACTCATCTGATTCAGATGCTCTGTCTCCTCTGTCGTGCGGGTTGGTCTCTGGCGTGGCTCTGGTCCCCGGGGTGCTCTGTTTTCCCCTTTGAGTCTCTAGCTCCACTGCTTCTACAGGCATCCATAGAAGAGAGTTCATTACCACCAGCACACACCACAATGTCATGTTTTTCATCTTTGTTTTTCAACTCAATACCGCCCTTGGTTTTGCCTGGAACCTTCGTGCAGCGTGACAGGTGATACCACGTCCCGCTCCTTTCGACCAGGACTGCTGTGGGAGTAGCTCGCACCACCGTGTACGGTCCTTCCCGTCGTGGTTCGTGCCACTTCCTGCACTGAAGTAGAGTTCACCAGGACCAAAGTGCTCAGGTCTTCTCCTCGTTCTTTTTGCCACCCTCCTCAAAGGACGGTGATGTACACCTGGTGCTCTGGCTCGACTGGCCTCCACCTCTTGACTGGGATCAGATTTTGGCACTCCTCCTGCTAACCGATAGATCTTTGCATCGTAGTTAGATGCCTCATCTATTTAATTCACTAATTTCCAGCTGCTCAAGCGAAAACCTTAATTATTTAGCCGCAGTAAAGCATAGCTTTGTAAGTTAGTCAATCATGCAGTGGAAGATTTATCTCAGTGCTTTTGATTGTGAAAGCTCATAAGCGCAAGTAGCAAAGCATCTTCCTATAGGTTAGTGTTAGTGCAACTTCTCTGATCAGATATTTACTTGAGAGATTAACTTTCTTCCCCAAAATGATGTACCAAATCATGCAATGACAGATTTATTTTGACTCCAAGATCTTTTGATGGTGTTGCTTCTATCCATCGACTGACCCCGTCATCATTACAAACATGTAACATATGCCTTGGCAGTTTTAATCATGTCCACATTGCCTATAAATAGATGTCTAAAACCGTCTCTCTGGAACTGGAAAAGTGTCTCACTTCCGTTTTATTGTTCTCTTCAATTCATCTAACAAAACGCATATCACAATGACCCAAGAGTTTATCAGCTCTCGTCAGCATATTCTAAGAATGTCGTTTTAATTGTCTCATCATCTCCCCCCTTTCACAGTGTGAATCACTGTGAAAGTCAGATCCTAGTTTGTTTGTTAATACTACTGGTACAAAAACTAGTTATTTGACTCTAAACCATTTTCTGTGGCCTTATTGACCCCTGATAGCTTCCTATTACTTTTACATTAGGTGGCACATCTGTGAGGAGTGTATGTGGATTCAGCACAGCTGCATTTAGATTTATCAGTATTAAACTAACAGAACAGGGATGTTACAATGCTAATGTCACGATATTTACTTAAAACTATAAACCATAACTGTCTACTTACACACCTCGCGGTGAGCACCAAATTTGAATGTTACTTCTACATAGGTCCTTTCGGTCTATAAGGTCAACAGGGTTAAAATTAAAACTAACAACTAACTTTTTCCATCATCCACAAAAATCACACTGTAGTAAGCCACCACTTTCACATTGTCTGGGCTGGGGCCCCCCACCACCGATCCAGCCAGAGACGTCCCTGGTCTGGGCAGTTGTCAAAAATGTCTGGTATGATCCCATCCCCAGCAGGTCTTTAGACGTCACACGTCCGTCAGAATTCCACTCTCTCCCCCTGCCGGGATATATCCTCTCTATGGAGCAGGGTTCTGTCTGAGGATAAACATTCACAACAGGTGATTAAACAGGTTACTGTCACAGGTTTTACCGCAGTTAGCGTCTGCACGGTCTGCATCGCTGGGTCTCTTTTGCCGTGTCCCCTTAGAGGTGGCTGTTTCAACTTCCGCTCCACCTCACATCACAATATGCATTGAACTCACTCCCATCAGTCATGGGATTCGTCATTCAACCTTGTTTTGCCTTGCGCAGAAACTCCTCCATCGTCTTAGTTCCCAGCAGTTTAGCCAAGAGTGCTTTCATGTCTGGTGTAGTCAACATTTTCCTACAGTTCATCCTCAAAAACTCGTATCCATCTCCCTGCCCCTTGTTCAGTTTGTGGTAGTCTGGCAACCAGCCCAACAAGGTGTGTGGTTTTCCACAGCACATAGCTAGCCTGTGTGCCATTTATTAAGATTGAAAACATACTATCAGTGCATTTCCAAGTGAACATAATCTAGGCCAGGGGTGTCAAACTCAACCACAGCAAAGGGCATAATCTGGATTTAAGTCTAGCCTCAGGGTCAAACAGGATCAAAATTTCACTAAAACTGTCAATTTCCTTTTCAAAACATATGGGAGAAAAAATAGCAATGATTTTAAATCATTTGGAAATTCAAAAGAGATAAACTAATAATAATAATAAATAAATAATTTTAAAGGCAACCTAAGATAGAAAAAATTTAGTTTTTATTCTATTCTTATTTAATAGTTCAGAAGATCAGAGCATGATTTACAAAGAGAAAAGTAATGCATTTAAAGAGCAAATACACAAGAAGAACGTTAAAATCAGGTTCAAAAAGGTCCCAGTATGACTTAAAATCTAAAATTGGACTCTAAAGTATAAAAAGGACCAAAATCTAAGTGCTGAGTTAAACATGTCCGGTCCTTTTAGTTCCATATCTTCTTGTTTTTGCGTGTTTTACTTTTCTTTATGTTTATGGTCTTAGATTCGCTGCTCCAAATCCTCACACACAGCCACATTAGATGTGCCTCCCCTAGGTCATAAAGATTCAAACCCCTTGATTCAATGTTCCCATTTCTTTGTAAGTTTTTGGATATCATTTAAGTGTTCAGTATATTTACACCCTACCAACGTGTATCTAATCTTCCCTTTCTGGTCGTGCTTTTTGTAAACTTTATTATTCAACTGAGCACACACATTAAAACTTGATCAGCAGTTTTGTAAAATTCCCCAAAAATACACAGTATAAAGCTTTTGCCTCAACTGCAGTTCTATAGCAATAGTCAGTATTGATATTAACAGCTTCAATAATATTTTAAAAACACAGTGTTCTGGCAAAAACAGCAGATGTATAGAAGCAACTCTTAGATTTGAAGTTTTTTAGAAGTTTTGCACTTGTGGTACCTCATTGCTTTTTCCCTTTTTGTATCTTTTATGCTTTTACAAACATTATTTCAGCAGCTTTAACACAGAAAATTTGTTAAGTAGCATAAGACGTGTTCACAACAAAAAACCATCATAATATTTAAGCATAAGCTAAAACCTTTATATCAGGAGTGTTCATCATGGTACTGGGAACAGAACCTCTTTCCCAGGAGTATTTAACCTTCTATGTCTCAACTGATAACATGACCGCAATGAGCACAGTATTCACATAAACAACTATGAAATAAACACAAGTGTGGAACACAGCAATCTTTGACTAACATAACACACACACAGGTGCAGAGTCTGACTGTGAACAGTTCTGCCAGAGAACTTAGTTGACACAGAACAAAACAGACACACACAACCATCCAATCAACCCACACACTTCACTTATTCATCACACAATGGTATACCCTTTCACACGTGTTTGAAGTCAAAGTCAGTCACTGGAGTCAGTCAGCAGTCTTCTATTTTAATTCTTGTTTTGATTTCTTCAATTTTTCCAATTTGTGTGATTTTTCCAATTTATGTGATTCTTCTACAATCGGTCAGGAGATATGGGACGTGCTTGTTCAATTGGGATCCCTGAATAGGCTTTTCGGCCTACCCTTATTGACCTCTTTTTCTATCTCCTGCTCATCAAGCCAATCTGTATCTGTCAGAGCTCATAAAACAAAAAATTGCCCATACTCACAGTTCAACAATGGACAGACACACTCGTGCCTGCCACTCCCCTTGTTATCCCAAAAATTAACCAGAATCTTTTATCACCAGGCATTCAGCCTAAAAAACACATCACAACCCGGGCCCGGCTGTCTCCCCACGCTACTGGCCAGTGCTTTCCTGCACCCAGCCTATAGCTTCTCACATAGTCTCACGCATGTAGCAGCGTGAGGCGGTCTGACACAACCAACTGATTCGAAGAGGACAGAGAGCAGTAGTCCGCACCACCTCACAGGGAAAAGAACTCTCAACCAAATTTTAGGAAATCTCCTACCTTTTTCTTTTTGTGGCCACAGAGTGTCCTTATCCCATGTGAAGTTCGCAGAACCATGGTCCCTTGTCCCCCGAAACGAATTCTGGCTAAATTATGTCACAGGTTTACCCAATGTTTATATTTGTAAAATAATGCTATGAGTGTTTTAAAATGCACACAATGTTTATATATTTGTACTGCAGATATGATAGCTTTAATATTCAGCTTGCCGAGGGAAAGGAAGAAGAAAAAAACAGGTTCGCCAGGTCTTCAGACTTTTAGGGGAGAGAAGGGCGGGGGAGCTCTCACAAAGGTGGGGGCTCCTCACCGAGTGAGGGCTGTATGTCTTGGATCCCAAAAAATGTGTGGGGGGGGGCTTCTCACTGAATGAGAGTAGTAGCGGGGGAGAGAGGGAGCTTTATTTTGGCTCACGCAAAGGTGGGGGCTCGTTCAGGGCTGAGTGAGAGCGGAATTGACCTCACTTCCCCTTTTACTTCCTACTTCTCTCAGTCTCAGTCTGACTCTCGGACTGTCAACTTCTCCTGTTTCTGTCTCTCTGCCACACCCTACTACACAACACACAACTGCTTCAGCTTACACACTCTAACTGCGTCTTTGCTCAACCTTTCTCAGACTACTGTACCAACACCAAACTCTGCTTCACCAACAACCTTACGCACACAATCCAAAAAGTCCAACCCCACCAACAGTCTGTTTTGTGTCACAATTCTCCCAACTTTAGGCACCATATACAGAGCCGTGACAACACAGTTAATCTTAGCTTGCTTATAGGATTCCTGTAACCACCTTGTTAAACATTTACCATTATTTACATATTAGTTTGCACCATGCACACACACAACACACACACACCCTCACACACACACACCCTCGGCGGAGTGCGAGGAGAGGGAGAGAAAGGAAAAAAGCGATCACTCTCACACGGACCGGTCCTCACGCACACTTTTGGGGTGTTTATATTTTATTCGTCAAATATACTTTTATTTAGTCTTTTTTGGTGATTTTTTGAAGGTATTCTATTTAGTTGGCTGACTCATAAGGATAACACGTTGATCATCCGTGCCTTTCGTGGTGTCAATTTGGAAGGAAATTGTGGATCAAACAACTCCTACCTTATAAATTTTCAATACCTCCAATGTCCAATGTTCCGTTTGATTGATTTCCGTTCTCAGATTACAGTTTTGTTTGTTTTCTTTATTTCCCGTCATTTATTATGAGAAATGCGTTCGTTTCATCTATAAGTTTTTGTGGGTATACGTTAAAATGTGCCCATACTTAGCGACAGACCTGACATGTAGCGGGATTTCCCAGCAAGTGTGATTGAACTTTCGTTTACAGTCCAGTCAATCACATCTAAATCTGTTCCATAATTCCTAGTGGATTTCTCCACGTTATTTATATTAGATAAGTCTGCAACCTGCAGGGTTTCTGCCTTTCGAGCTCAGTAAAAGGTCCGCCCCAGATTGCAGCACTTAACATGGGGTGGTCTGTCCAGGTTCCTCGCCTTTTCAGACTTCCCCGGGCTCCGCAGAGCAGTATCTCTGAGGTCTGTCCAACCTCATCGGGTTAAACTTTTACACAACTGCCAGGGCTTGGCTGCCGGCCAATTATCCAATCGCGCTCCGTGAACTCCATGCCCCTAGGATTTGACTTCCCGGCATCTTGTTCACCCACAACACAGATCTGCTCTGCTGATCACTGTTCTCGGGATCTGTTAGCGATACTTCTCTGCCCCCGTAAGTATTAAGCTCGAGGCCTGTTCGCTTTACTCCTACTATCCCCGTAAGACACAAGTCAACAGACACTTGGCCAAGATTTTCAGCTGCTTTGACGCCAATGGTTAATTTGTCTGTCTCACAATTTTCCACACACTTTGGAGCAGCCTTCATGTATACATGAATAACACGCGAGAGACTCCGCCCGACTCTGCTTCCTTTGATTCTAGACTCTTTCTTTTGCGAAGGCCCAAACACAAGATGGTCTCACCACACAGTGAAATCACACATCTAATAGAGAAATAAACTACTCCTACCTTTTGTGTGCCGGCACGTGGATTTCACTCGCGTGGGGAGGCCAACGCCCCGGGCCTCGGCAAAATCTGGGCTGAAGCTTGCCAATTATTCAGAAGATGACCTCGGTGTAAAAGTGCAGAAATGAACTACACGAAGACAGAATCAAGCTGGCAGCCTCTCGGCAGGGTTTTTATTCCGATCACAGCATCGAACAATAGCTCATGAGCAATCGAACAGACAGAACCAAAAAACAGCCCATCCACATATCTTTTATAGTCCTCCATTGACGTCAGGGACCTTAGTTTTAGCCAAATGTGCGTGCGAAAGTCCCCTTCGTGACTTTCTCTGCCACTATCTTTTGGAGCCAGATTTCCTGTTATTGCAATTAAGCTACCATGAGAGAGGGTCACCATGACCTGATATGAAGTTTATCCCAATCTGACCACTCCACCCATATCCTGTTTTCTTGCCTCATGGTAACCCCCAAAACATCCAAACATATCTGTTATTTTCCCCCACACTTCCAGGCTCTGATTAATGATGTTCTCCGAGACATGATCACCCAGTATGTCTTTGTTTACCTCGATGATATACTCATCTTCTCCCGGTCCAAAGAGCAACACATTCATCATGTCCAATCCGTCCTTCAGCGCCTCTTGGAGAACTCCCAGTATGTTAAAGCAGAAAAGTGTGAGTTCCATGTTCCTTCAGCATCTTTTCTGGGATACATTGTGGCACAAGGCAGCATCCAGATGGACTCAGCCAAGGTCTCAGCTGTTACCTCCTGGCCTGTTCCGGAGAACCGCAAGCAGCTTCAGCGCTTCCTTGGGTTCGCCAACTTCTACCGTCGCTTCATCCGCAACTACAGCTCAGTAGCAGCCCCTCTCACCATTCTGACCTCCCCCAAAGTGCCCTTCCAGTGGTCTTCTGCAGCTGCAGCGGCCTTCCAGTTCCTCAAGGATCGGTTCACCTCATCGCCCATCCTCCTGATGCCTGACTCTGAACGCCAGTTTGTGGTCGAGGTAGATGCCTCTGATGTTGGGGTGGGGGGCCGTCTTGTCTCAACGCTCATGCACTGACCAGAAGCTCCATCCCTGTGCCTTCTTCTCCCGACGCCTGTCCTCTGCAGAAAGGAACTACGACATTGGTAATAGGGAACTCTTGGCAGTAAAGATGGCCTTAGAAGAGTGGCACCATTGGTTGGAGGGCACGAAGGAACCTTTTCTTGTATGGACTGACCACAAGAATCTGGAGTACATACGCTCTGCAAAGAGACTGAACTCTCGCCAGGCCCGCTGGTCCCTGTTTTTCGCCCGTTTTAACTTCACCCTCTCTTACCGTCCTGGTTCCCGCAATGTCAAGCCTGACGCCCTGTCCCGACAGTTCCAGAGGACAGAGGATTCTGTTGTTGGAGCTGAGACCATCCTACCTACTTCCTGCCTTGTAGCCATGTTGACCTGGGACATTGAGGAGAAGGTGAAGGCAGCCACAGAAGGACAGCCGGGCCCCAGCTCCTGCCCGTCTAACTGCCTCTTTGTTCCACCAGCCTTGATGTCAGAGGTGTTACAATGGGCCCACTCCTCCAAGCTCTCCTGCCACCCTGGGATTCAACGGACACAGCATGCCCTCCTCCGACGTTTCTGGTGGCCCACTGTGCAAGAGGACGTCCGGGAATTTGTCAAGGCCTGTCCAACCTGCAGCCAACATAAGACCTCCCGTCGGCCTCCTGCTGGGCTACTACAACCTCTTCCTGTTCCTCACTGCCCATGGTCTCACATATCTTTGGACTTTGTAACCGGTCTTCCCACCTCTGATGGTCACACTGTCATCCTGACAATCGTGGACCGCTTCAGCAAGATGGTCCACTTCGTGCCTCTGCCCAAGCTTCCCACTGCTAAACAGACTGCCCAGTTGGTTCTGCTCCATGTTTTCCGTCTTCATGGTCTCCCTGTTGATGTGGTGTCGGACCGTGGTCCCCAGTTTTCTTCCGTGTTTTGGAGGGAGTTCTGCAGTCTACTGGGTGCTACCGCCAGTCTGTCCTCTGGATTCCATCCTCAGACCAATGGACAGTCTGAGCGTATGAATCAAGAACTGGAAACAGCCCTGCGGTGCGTGGCCTCGCAGAACCCCTCTTCTTGGGCGTCACAACTTTTGTGGGTGGAATATGCCCACAACTCCCTCGTCTGCTCTGCTATTGGCCTCTCTCCATTCCAGTGTGCTTACGGCTATCAACCACCACTTTTTCCAGCCCAGGAAAAGGAGCTCTCCTGTCCATCAGTCCAAGCCTTCATCCGTCGCTGCCGCAGAACATGGCTCCAGGCTCGCTCCACCCTCCTCCGTTCCGTGGGTCGTTACACTGCCAATGCCAATCGCCGTACTGCTGCACCTACCTACCAAGCGGGTCAGCAGGTGTGGCTCTCCACCCAAGACTTACCTCTCCGGGTGGAATCCAAAAAGATGGCTCCGAGGTTCATTGGGCCTTTCACCATTCAGAGGGTCATCAACCCTGTGACAGTCCGGTTGAAACTCCCACGGTCCATGAGAGTACACCCTACCTTCCATGTCTCCAAGGTTAAGCCAATCCACAACAGCCCCTTGGTCCCTGCGGCACCACTACCTCCCCCTCCACGAATGGTCGACGGCGGTCCGGTGTATGTAGTGCGCCGCTTAATTCGTTCTCGGCAGCGAGGTAGGGGTCTCCAGTACCTTGTGGACTGGGAGGGTTACGGTCCTGAGGAGAGATCTTGGGTTCCTGCTCGCCACATTTTGGACCCCAACTTTGTGGCCAACTTTCATCGGCAACATCCTGACCAGCCAGCCGATGAGTCAGCCCGTCGAGGAACCCGCACCTTGCCCCCACCTGTCCAGGATGTGCTGGAAACTGCTTCGACCTGCTGCTCTCACCTGCTCATCATCTCCAATCAGGCCAGTATATATGCAGCTTCTTTCCCCTCACTCTTTGCCAGATTGTCTTCGCTCTCATGCCTGACTCTCCAGCGTTTATCCTCGAACTGCTTACCTGGTATCGACCTGATCTGCCCCTGACCTTTGCTTCTCGCCTCAGCCCCGATAAACCTACCTGCCTTCTGTCCTTGACTACGAGCTTTGCCTGCCTGTTTCCTGCTATTCGTCTGCCTGTGGCTGAATGGCACTCAGCCTGTTCCTGCTCTGTTGAGATCCCCCTTCTCGTCAGCTTCACCTCGCCAACTCACCTCCTCTGCCGACGTTGGTTCTGCCAGCTCCTCTGCAAGCTCTGGATCCTCACCCAGTCCTCACCTGAACCACTCTCCAAGAAATCTTCCTCCAGCTGTGAGTTGAGCGTTTTCCCCTTCACTACACTCGTAGAGCAAATTGAGACAGTGGACAATTCCCTGCTCACGAGTCCAAAACTCTTGCCTGACCTGTGGTCCACCGCTAATCTGCTCGCCTATCACCCGGAAGACCCGAGTTCGAATCCTGCCATACCCACCTGCTATACTCTGCTGCTTCATTGGATTTGGTGTTCAATAAAGACTGTTATTAAAGTGAACCTGCTTGTTTGTGCTGCAATTGGGTCCAGTCAATACCCGTTACACTGTTGCTAAGCTGCTACGCTACTTTTAGCCGCTCAGAGTTCCGAGGAGGGCCGAGAGAGTGGGAAGGGACGAGTCGGAACTACGGGAGAGGGGTGTGTCGTATACAGCGAGGTGATTGGATGGAGAGGCAGAGGCCAATGACCAATGAGAGCTGTCCAGGACAGATGGCTCCTATTGGTCAATGTTTTTGCAGCCCTGCACCTGCTAGGGCAGGGGTCGGCGACCTTAAACACTAAAGAGCCCTTTGGATCAGTTTTCCACAGAAAAGAAAACACAGGGAGCCACAAAACCCCTTCGGCATCTAAAATGAAGATAACATTTGCATATATCGTTTTTTTACCTTTATAAAAAATTGTAGTGAGTTGCATTCATTAAATAAATGAACTGCAGCAGAGAAAAAGAAATGTTATTTCTGCAGGCAAACAAAAATATTTTGAACAGTTTGAAATAACCTTAAAGACCCACTTCAGTGAAAATCATGTTATTCTTGTTGTCTACATGCTCATACATCATTTTCCAGAAGCTACAGGACATATAAGTAATACAAGAGCGAAATTGCATTTCTGAGTATTTCTGCATTCAAATCACTGTGAATCTCTGGCAGACCCAAACACTAGTCTCAGACGCAGGGAGATTTCCTACTTTACAACTGCAAGCTCCGCCCTCGGAGCCCTGCTATGCAGGCCACACTCAGAGGAGTTGAGAGGAAGATCGCACAAAAAGCGTGTGCGTTAAATAAAAAACACAATTTACAATTTATTTTTCAAATCCACAGGGAGCCGCAGCTTAGGGAAGAAAGAGCAGCCTGCGGCTCCAGAGCCGTGGGTTGCCGACCCCTGTGCTAGGGTGAACAAATTCTTTCCATTCTTTTTTCTCTTTACTTTGTGGAGATCGCACTAAAGGACCATGATGGCTATAGAAACGAGGTTCATAATAATTACTAATTTCTCCAATCATCGACCATGACTTTAAGGTTCTCTACAAAGCTTATTGAGCTGGCATGCGCAACTTGTGGTTTATTTCTTATTTCAAAATAAAAGCATGTTTTTCAAAATAAGACGAGATCTGTCAGTCACTTTATACTAGTGCTGTCAAAATTGCTCCAAAATGACCTTCGAATGTTCTTCCTAAACACATCATCAAATGTCTATACCCCCCCCCAACTTGTGCAAATAATTACAGGTCCCGACCTTTGTACATATAGACCATAGACTGTATAAAGAATGGACAGAGTCTGCCTCCTTGCTGGGTGAAGCCACTCTGAGAACAGCACCTTCTGTTGGTGGGCTGCAGTATAGGTCATAAATCCTGCCTCTGCTAGCAAAGCTTAAGGGGCTGTGGACAAACTTTAGAAATTTGTTACACAGAACTTACATTTTTCTCCCCCCTGCCTGAGATGTTGACATGTAGTTACAGTAAGACTGGTTTGTGCTCGTCCTCTTTTTCTGTGAAGCTCCGTTTTTAAAAGTTATTAGGAGGTTCATGTTTTCTATGATTGACACTTGATACAGCCTATGGGCGTTCAGGGATTGCGTAGCTCTCCCAGGGTACTCGCTGTTTGAGTCGAGCGTCATCACAGCGACTCTCAGGGACTGCGCACCCAAATGCGTGCATCGCTACTGCACAGCGCTGGTTTCAAAAAAGATGATGACCCTGTCTTCTTTCTTTGCCCAAGGAGACTTAATTTTTCCAGTGATGACTACCTGCAAAAGTAGTTTGTGTAAATCTAGTTACTTCATAAACAGATAATTTTTCACGGAGATCCTGCCAATCGTTCTCTGCTTAATATGTCATTTTAGAAATTTCAGTTACAAACTAACTTTAAGATGTTGCAACAAGTCTTTGTCCTGAGTGATGAAATCCATGACCAAAACACTGGTCAGTCTTCGTTGGTGCTGGGCTTGTTGAGCCATTTTCTGAGATAGAGATGGATGGATGGATTTCTGTAGAGATGG